GCAGAGTAAAGCGACACCACCACTTTGCGTGATCTGGATACTATACTTCTGTTGATACAGCCCAAGATAGCATCTGGCTTGTTAGCCACTGCATCACACGGCTGACTCGTGTTCAGTGTATGGTCTACTAAGACCCCTAGACCCTTTTCACACATACTACTGCCAAGATAAGTTTCCCCCATCCTGTAATTATACAGTTAGGACAGTTAGGTGGATAGAGAACTGGTTGGAGAACTGCACTCAGAGAATAGTTGTCAGTGGCATTTCATCTGAATGGAGGGAGGGTGCCTGGGGTGCCACAGGGCTCAGTTCTGGGCCCGGTACTTTTTAGTATTTTTATAAATGATCTGGATGAGGGTGTGGAGGGGCTACTCGTTAAATTTGCAGATGACACTAAATTGGAAGCAGCAGCAAACACACCAGGAGACAGAGAGAGGATTCAATGAGATCTGAACACGCTGGGAAAGTGGGCGGATGTGAACAAGATGCAATTTAACAGGGATAAGTGCCGAGTTCTACATCTGGGTAACAAAAATGAGGAACAGGCATACTGGATGGGGGATACACTTCTGAGTAGCAGTCAATGCTCCCTCTGAGCTGTGGAGTCTTGTGAGCAAAAATTCTACTTTGTGAGCTGCTGGCATTAAAGTTGAGAGCGAATGATTTGGCTACTGCATAAATCAGTTTGCTCTGGAGCCATCCTTCCTGAGCTGTGACAAAAATGTGTGAGCTGTGTGAGCTAGAGGCCAAAAAACTGTGAGCTAGCTCACACTCACTCAGCTTAGAGGGAACACTGGTAGCAGTGTGTGTGAACAAGATCTTAGGGTAAGGAGGGACCAAAGGTTAAATATGAGCAGCCAGTGTGATGCGTCAAGAAAAAAGGCTAATGCAGTCTTGAGCTGTATCAACAGAGACATAACATCCAAATCGAAAGATGTCATCGTTCTGCTGTACACTGCATTGGTCAAGCTGCATTTGGAGTATTGTGGACAGAATGGAGTGCATGTAGAGAAGAGCAACGGTGATGATCGGGGACCTGGAATCCAAGTCCTATACGGAAAGGCTGAGGGGGGGGGACTTGGGAATGTTTGGTCTGGAGAAGAGGCTGAGGGGGGACATGATTGCTCTGTTTAAGTATTTGAAGGGCTGTGTCCCTTAGAGGAGGAGGGCAGGGAGCTGCTCCTGTTGTCAGCAGAAGATAGGACTCAAAATAATGGGTTTAAATTAAGGGTGGGAAGGTACCTGCTGGATATTAGGGGAAAAGTTTTTACAGTAACAGTTGTGCAACAGTGGATTAACTACCGAGGGAGGTGGTGAGCTCCCCCTCACCGGCAGTCTTTAATCAGTGTCTGGACAAACACTTGTTAGGGGTACTCTGGGCTGATCCTGCATTGATCAGGGGGTTGGACTAGATGGCCTGTATAGTCTCTTCCAGACTGTAATTCTGTGAATTAATTTTTCCTACCTAAATGCAGAACTTTACATTTATTCTCATTAAAATTCATTTTAGCCCAGTTTTCCAGCCTTTCAAGATCATCCTGTATCCTGATTCTGTCTTCTACCATATTTGCTACCCCTCCCAATTTAGTATCATCTGCAGATTTAATAAGCATCCCCTCTGTGCCTTCATCCAAATCATTTATAAATATGTCGAACAAAACAGGTCCCAGGACAGATCCCTGAGGCGCACTCCACTGGTCACTTCTCTCCCAAGAGGAAGAGGAACATCCACAAGCACTCTTTGGGTGCCATCACTCAACCAGTTACAGATCCACCCAAGAGTCATAGGATCCAAACCACATTTTACCGACTTTTCAACAAGAATATTATTCAGAACCTTATCAAAAGCCTTACTGAAATCAAGTTAAACTGTATCTACAGCATTCCCCTGATCCAGCAAGGTAGTAACTTTCTTTAAAAAAAAAAGGTTTAGTCTGGCATGACTTGTTCTTGAGAAACCCATGCTGGCTTGTAGTAATCACAGCCATCCTTTCTAAATGCTCAAGGACTGACTGATGATTTGTTCTAAAACTTTGCCAGGTCTAGATGTCAAGCTGACGGGTCGGTAGTTACCCAGATCCTCCTTTTCCTCCTCGAAGTTGGGCGACAACATTTGCCAGCCTCCTTATCTGTTCTCCAGGAATTCTAAAAAAAGACAGAGGCTCAGAAATAAGTCTGCGAGTTCTTTTAGTGCCCTTGGATGCAGTTCATCTGGCCCCGAGGACTTTGTTTCATTTAAAGAAACTAGGTGTTTATGTACTACCCCTATGCTGATCCTAGACTGCAACTCCCTTCCCTCATCATGTGTTCTGCTTTTGCCATGTAGAGCACCACTTCCCCCAGAAGAAAAGACTGAGGAAAAGTAGATATTGAACATTTCTGCCCTCTCTTCATCACCTGCTACAATTTCACTTTCCTGTCCTCATAATAGGTCTACCATGTCCTTGCTCTTTTTCTTACTTTGAACATAAGAATTTCTGTTTTGTTTTTACCATCTCTCACTAGCCTAAGCTCATGCTGAGCTTTAGCTTTCCTAACTCTCTCTCTACAAGCACTGGTTATTTGCTTATATTCATCCTTGGTTATAAGGCCTTCCTTCCACTTTCTAAATGTATCTTTTTTATTTCTCAAGTCTTTAGAAAGCTCTTTATGGAGCCACCTTGGCTTCTTTAGGCTCCTCCCATTTTCCCTTCTCACAGGAATCATTCGTGATTGTGCCTTCAATATGTGTCTCTTAAGAAACTCCCACCCCTCTTAAATTTCTTTCTCCTGAAGTATTTCTGACCATGGTATTCTAGCCAGCATAACTTTTGTTTGTTAAAAATTTGCTTTCCTGAAGTCCAGCCTATATGTCTGACTATGCACAGCTTTTCCCTTCCCTAAGACTGTAAAATCCAAAATTACATGGTCACTATTATCCAGGGTGCACACTACGTTCACCTGGTCAACCAGTTCTTCCCTGTTGGTGAAAATCAAGTCCAAGATAGCAGATCTCCTTGTTTCCCTCTCCACTTCCTGGACAATGAAGTTGACAGCAAGGCAAGTCAGGAATTTATTGGACCTTTCATTTTTAGCAGAGTTGGACTTCCAACAAATATCCGGGTAATTGAAATCTCCCACGATCACTGTGTCCCATCCCTTTAAAAACATTGTAATCTGTTCTAGGAGTGTCTCATACAAGTCCTCTGCCTTGCTTGGTGGTCTATAGAAGACCCCCCACCATAATATACCTGCTATTTCCTACTCCTTTTGTTTTGGTCAGAGACAAGCAGATGTCTTATGTTGGCACAACACGGCCATCTGTCGTCCCCTTTTAAAAAAAATTGAGGCTGTTTGTACCACCTATCTGTTACAGTTTTCATGCCAGATTTCACACGATTAGGGTGAATCTTGGTTTTATGATGACTAGAACATTTGGGTTGTATCAGGGTAAAAGGATGAAAAATGAGCTCTGAAAGCAGCGATGTGTGATCCTATTGCACCGTCTATTTAATGTGAGGCTACTAACTGGGAGGGGCCGTGGCTCAGTGGCTGAGCATCTCCTCGTCACACAGAAGGTGCCAGGCTCAGCCCCCAGGCGGCACCTTCGCTTAAAAGGACCCTGAGACCTTGGAGAGCTGCTGCTGCTGCCGCTGCCAATCTGAGCAGGCCGTGCCGACCTCGAGGGACCGAGGGGGCCTGGTTCAGTGTAGGGCAGCTTCATGGGTACTGGTGTGTAAATGGTTGTTTGTTTATTTATTTATTATTAAATTTATACCCCGCCCTTCCCCGTAGGGCTCAGGGCGGCTAACAAGGCAAGAAAGAGCTTGCTAATAAAACATCAATACTCTAATACAGTTAAAAACAACATATACAATTTAAAACCAATAAAACAATTAAGATGCTCAGTAACCACAATAATCATTCCAGAATCTCAGAACCCAGAGAGGGCGGCCACAACCCTGATACAACACAAGCATTCCCAGTAGGCATTGATAGATGTTAACAATAGTTCTACCCGGCCTCCTAAGCCCTAACCCCCCCAAGATGGTATATAGCCGGGGGGGCAGTGGGTGGCCGCCCCTAACCAAAGGCCTGGTAGAAGAGCTCCGTCTTGCAGGCCCTGCGGAACTGCACCAGGTCCCGCAGGGCCCGGATCTCCTCCGGGAGCTCGTTCCACCAGGTGGGGGCCGCCACTGAGAAGGCCCTAGCCCTTGTGACGGCCAATCTAGCATCCTTGGGGCCCGGAACGGTTAGAGAATTCTGGGCCCCAGACCGTAGCGCTCTTGGGGGAACATACGGGGAAAGGCGGTCCCTCAGTGGCACTGATGGGTTATCCATCAACAGACAAAATCACTAAGTTTGCTAAGTAGGTCAGGCAATTTAATAAAAGGGGCCTTTGCTGTGGCTTAGTCTGCTTTGTGACGGGATTTGTACCTCAGAATTCAAGACAGCCACCAGCACAGACTGACGGGCACTGTGTGTTTAACATCCATGGCAGCGTTTTCAGTAGTCCTCAACATTATTCACTGTTGTTCAAGAGAGTTGCTACAGTACATTGAATAATGTTAAGCATATAGGTAACATTGCAGTACATTGCAGTATTGTCATAAAAACCTGGCCCTGGTTTCCTGTAAGCATCTGTTAGCTTGTCTCTACAGGCAAGACAAAATTTTGGTGTCAAAGTAACCAGGAAATCCAGATATATTATGGTGGAATATGTTCTTCTTCTGCGACCTTTTTACTCTTAAAACTTAGGATCTCCCCCATGCCGTTACTGCAAAACTCCCATGTCATGCCCTGTGAGACACACCAACCCCAGAAGACCAGGGGGAGGGCATTCTCCACTTACCAAGGAGACCCATCACCTTTGTTCTGTCTTCTAAGTGGCACTGCATGGGTTCTGCCAGTGAATTATCCCCCCCCCCATCCTTCCAATCCCCCTTCTCAGCAGAGGTGTTTGGGCCCCAAATTTGGTATTAATCGTCACCCCTTCCCTTTTTATGTTTTGTTCTGTGCAGCTGATTGACTATGCCAAACGTGGGGACACCGATCCCAAAGCCATGCGCATGGCCGACTTCTGGCTGACGGTGAGTCCATGGCACGCGTCCCTTTTGTGAGGGGGCACGGAGTGCCTTAGGCAGGACAGTTGAGAAGGAGAGACGCTGGACAGGAAGCCGAATTGCTCTCCATTGGCCTGTCTCCAAGGGTTTCTGTGGGTGGAGATGGGGAGGTTTTGCTGGGTAACGCGGTGTGGAGGAGCAGCTTGCGAGCAAATTGACAGCGTCTCTTCTTTGGTCTTTTTCAGGAGAAAGACCTCATCCACAAACTTTTCAAAGTGCTAGCTCCACGCTACCAGCTGTATTCAAGGAACTACACTCGATTGCTGCAGATTCCCAATCGTGACGACCAAGATCGAGCCAGAATGGCAGTAATTGAATACAAGGGGAACCCTTTGCCACCGCTCCCCATCCCACGTAGAGACAGTGAGAAGACCCTGGTGAACCAGCTCCTGAAAGGTTACAGGGACGATGTGCTCCGAGTGAAGGGAGCCCCCCACCTTGAAGAGGGGCACGTGGGCACAGCGGTGTAGAGATGCCTCTCACGCCCTTTGTGGGGGAAGCAGAACTGCATGCTGCCGGGGGGGGGGGGGGGGGGGCTCGACCTTTCATACCCCGCCTGTTGGCCGCCCTCTTAGCGGGAACAGTCACAAGCCCCGCCCCCCCCACGAGGAGTGTTGTTTCCTGGAGGCCTGTCCCCTTGGTCTTGTGGGCTGTGCCAGGCAGCAGGGGTTGTCCCTCGTAACATCTCTGTTTGGGCAATTTTTTGACATATGGAAACGTTGAGGAGGAGTCCGGTTTAGTCATATTTCAATAAATGTAGCCACGGGGCAAATACATTATTGTCCAGTCTTCTCTCCTGTGCCAGAGTGCTACGTGACATCAGAGAACATTCGAGAAATTTCCGTCTACTGAAATGGAAGATGATCCTGAATGTAGGATGACTTTTATAAAAAAGAGAAAGCTTTACATGAAAACAGATGATCGTTAATTGCAGATACCCCCCCCACACACACACACAAAAAGAGACCGGCCAGCCCACCTCTGTCTTCCCAGCCCCCTCCCCAGGGGTCCCTTGTCACAGCCACCATGGACACAGCCCCCCCCCCCCCCTTCTGTCTGAGCCAGGAAGCAGGAAGAGAGCCCACCCCGCAGCTGGGTTGCAAAGCCTGCTTCCATCCCCCCAACACACACACCCGCTGAAGGAGACGCTGGCCTTTCTCTCCTGTGGCTTTTGGCTGAGCAAAGATCCACCTAGCCATTCCAGACTGCTGCCTGCTTCCAACCCCAGTTGGACAGAGAGGCTGGGCACCTTCGCCCTTTGTGGCCAAGCCAGAGGACACAAAGGAAAAGAGTGCGCTTGCAGAACTTTTCAGCCAGCGCAACCAAGTGGCACACCCTCTTGCCTCTCTGTGTAGGTGCCAGAGAGGGGCACAGTGGCTCCAGATCAGCTAAGTTGGAGTGGTAGCCTCCCCAGCAGACCTCCCCACCAATCATCGAATGAGGACAGCTTTACATAAATTTACCCCAAGTAAGCATACAAAGATTACTTAGCTTTCCAGGTGGCTCAAGGCACACTTTAATATTACCTACTAGCTGGTGTTTGCGCTGGCAATACCACCACCATTGTTGAAGTACTTGGAGCATAAATGCAGCCTTGCTGGATCAGCCCCGTGATCCACCCAGCACAGCAGCATCCTCCTCCTTCTTCTTCACCATGCCCAAGCCGCTGCCCTGGAGGCCAAGGCCTTTGCCTGACGCTGCCTCCTTGGCACTGAGTCCCAGAGGTCGGCTGCGGTCAGTGGAGGGTTCCCCTCAGCCCCCCGGCTAGCAGCCCTGCGTGGGCCTCCCCACCCTCCGTCTGCCTGACCTTATCAAGCCGTCCGTGCTTCTGTTCATTGCTGTGACTCAGTGGATACAGATGTGTGTCCTTTTGTCTGTCTTGAATTCATTGGGTGCCCCCAATTTCTACTGTTATGGGAGGGAAGAAAAAGTTCCATATCCACTTTCTCCCCCTGTGCAAAATGTATAGACCTCTGTCATATTCCCATTAGTAGTATTTTTTTCTGAACTGAAAAGCCCCAGACTCTTAACCTTTTCTTATAGGAAAGGTGTTCCAACCCCTTAAGGACTGTGATTGCAGTCTTCTGCAGTCTTCTGTTTAAGGTGGAGTGACAGTACTTCAGACAGCACATGGTATTCCAAATGAAGCGGCACCATGAATCTCTTAGAGGCATTATAATATTCATTCTTGGTTTTCAGTCCTTTTACTAATAATCCCCAGCATAGAGTTTCCCTTTTAGCACACTAGTGGCTCATTCATTTGACATTTTCATCCTCTAATAAAATCCACAGATCCTTCTGCCTCTCAGTGTCAGTGAATTCTGACTCCCATCAGTATATATGTAATGTTAGGGTTTTTTGTTCCACTTTGCATCACCCTACATTTACTGACAGTGAACTTCATTTGCCATATGGTTGCCCATTCAGCCAATTTAGAGAGATCCTCCTGGAGGTCTCCACAATCTGCCCTGGGGTTCACCATCCTGAATAACTTTTCACTGCATTGCTCACACCAAATTTTAGATCATTTATGAACAAACTAGGACCAGTCCTTGTGGCACCCCACTGCTCCCTTCCCTCCATTGTGAGAACTGAGCCTTCGGGGAGGGCGGGATATAAATAAATAAATCAATAAATAAGAACTGTCCATGTATTCCTACTCTCTGCTTTCTGTCATCTAACCAGTTTTTGATCCATAAGAGCACCCATTCTGTTATCCCATGACTGCTAAACTTATTCTGGAGTCTTTGGTGAGGAACCTTGTCAAAGGCCTTTTGAAAGTCAAAATATGTGATGTCTGGAACATAAGGGGAGCCCTGCAGCATCAGACCAGGGAGGGTCCATCCAGTCCAGCCTCCTGTCTCACGCAGGAGCCAACCAGTTCCCCTGGAGGCTCTCCAACCGGGTGGAGGCCTCCGTGGTCCTCCCCTGATGTTGCCTCCTGGGTCTGGGCTTCAGAGGAGTGTCCTGCCTGGACATGGAGGTTCCCCTCAGGCACCACCGTGGCCAGTCACCACTGACAGAGGCCACTCCTCCTTGTCACCACTGATGGACCGCCCCCCCCCCTCCTCCATGGATCTGCCTTATCCCTCTTCTGAAGCCACGAGTGGTTCTGGCCATCACTGCCACCTCTGGCAGCCAGCTGCACGTTTTAGTCACTCCTTAAGTAAAGGGAATGTTTCCTTTTGTCCATCCTGAATCTAACTTCATTGGATACGGAAGGACAAAAAGTTCTCTCTGTCCACTCTCTACCATGTGTATAATTCTTTATACACCTCGATCACGCCCCCGCCTCTTAGTCCTCCTCTCCCAGACCCTCTCCTCCAGCCTGTCCTCACAGGGAAGGGGCTCCTACCCTCCCCCCCCTCATCCTCTTGGTTGCCCCCCCCCGCCGCCGCCCTCTGTCCTTTTCCCAGCACTGCCATGTCCTTTTTGAGATCCAGTCACACAGGATTCCAGTCTAACGGATCAGCCTTGGACACATGATTGTTAACCACAAAGAACTCCATAAGGCTGATCAGGCAGGACTTCCTTTTGCAGAAGCCGTGCTGATCTTTTAGAAGGTTGTACTTTAAGGGAGATGCAGAAAGTAACAGAGCTGCTCATGTGTCGCAAAAGGCCGGCTACCTCATTGACTGGTGGGAAGAAGGAAGTGAGCATGAAGTGTCCCACACACTGCAAAGGAAGCCAGAAGTTGGCTCTTTAGATCAGAAATCCACGGATGCACAAAAGCGACTGATTGCTTGGAAGGGGACAGTCTGTACACTTTTTCTGACTTTTGCCTAAGTAAGGGAAGCAATAGTGCTTCAGTGGTTTTTAGCAGGCAGCTTCAAAATAATTTAGAAACACCTCTCGCACCCCTCTTTTTACTTATGGTGGCTTAAAAAACAAATTAATAAAAATCCCAACAAGTAAAATCCCAGACAACACAGAGTGCAGAAGTGTAAGTCGGAAGCACCACCCTTTTAAACAGCTGCATGCCATGAAGCAAAGCCAATGCTGGTCGGGAGCCTCAACCAACAACTCACAGACAGGGTGGCTTTACTCAGTCTGCATGCCAGCCTTAAGGAAGCGGTGATTTCTAGCAGAGCATTGTGGAGGTGAGAGCAGGGAACGCAAAAGGTGGTGGAGGGCAGATGCTGTAGCCCACCAACTCAAGCAGAGAACAGGGATGAAACGTCCCTGGGACAAGATGCAAATGTTCCAGGGGAGCTAAAATGGTTAACAACGGTGAGGCTTCCACTACCCTGGGGCACGTGCTGGGAGACAAGCGCCACTAGCCAGAGAACAGTCCCTAAGTTCCTGACATGTGCTGCCACAGTGGTCCAGGCCGGAAGGGCAGGAGAGAACCAGAGGATAGACGGCCCTGCACCCCCAGCCTCTCTGCAGCCATTTGACTATGGTTTGCCCCTCACGGTAGCCCACACATGGTCAATAGGTGGCTGCCACCAGTCTGTCCCTTTAGGATCTTGGGCAGAGGCTGACGGGCTAAATTCTGCCTTTCTCACCTGTGCATAGGCCCTCCCCTTGTCTCAGCTGAGAGATCTTCTGCACCTGAGTGATCAGGGGACAACACAGGTGCTTTTAAAGAGGATAAGGGTTACTTGGACAACAGAGGAAGGGATGTTACACATAACTACTTGCAAGGGAAACGGATGAAACAACACAGGAAGTTAAAAAACCCTGAATAAACTGTTTCCCTAGCATAATGGCTTTAGTTCACAGGTCTTGAGTTGTGTCAGCCTGACACGGGCCTACCCTGCAAGGGCCCTCCTCCTCTTCCTCACTCAGAGAAGGCAATGGGTACTTCCTTTGTAGGGTTTTATCAGTCTGGTTATTAATCTCAGCCCCTTGCATGGATAGGTGCTCTTTTCTCACTCTGCCTGGTGGTGCTAAGCCTTTCAGAGGAGAATCACTATCCTCTCTGGGGCTCCATGTAGCTTATCATTTGGAGACATGGAGAAGTAGAATTGATGCAGTTTTTAGACCATCTCAACTACATCCACCCGAACATACAATTCACCATGGAAAAAGAAATTGAGGGTAAACTCCCATTTCTAGAGATCATGGTCATCCGCAAAGCTAACCTTCAATTAGGTCACAAGGTCTACAGAAAACCGACTCACACGAATTGTTATTTACATAAAAACTCCAATCCCCACCCTCGGCAAAAAAGAGGCATGATCAAAACATTAGTAGACCGGGCAAGACGGATATGTGAACCGCACTTTCTCAACGATGAACTAAATCATCTAAACCACTCACTTCAAGTAAATGGCTACTCCAAGAATGAAATCAGAAGAGCAATTAAACCAAAGGTAAAACAAACAACTGAGGAAAAACAGTCTCCCACAGGAAAGGTGTTTTTGCCATATATCAAAGGGATGATCAGATGGGAAAACGTATGAAAAAACAGAACCTATAAACAGTATTCAGACCCACCAGGAAAATACAACAGATGCTACGATCAGCAAAAGACAGAAGAGACCCCCTCACTTCTGCAGGAGTATACCGCATACCATGCAGCTGTGGACAGGTTTACATCGGGACCGCATAGCATTCAGACAAGAATAAAAGAACATGAAAGACACTGCAGAGTGGGCAACCTGAAAAATCAGCAGTGGCTGAACATAGCCTAACTCAAACAGGACACAGTATCTTATTCCAAGACACTGAAAGGCTGGACAACACATCCAATTACCATGTTAGATTACACCAGGAAGGCATTGAAATTCATAAACATAAACACAATTTCAACAGGAAAGAAGAGAGTTTAAAAATAAATAGGGGATGATTTCCTGTCCTGAAAAACACAAAATGCTCTACATCTTACAATAGCGCTACAGATAAGATTAGAATTTCAATAGACAATCCATATGCAAGAGAGCCTCCTCAGGAAAGCTCCTCCATTAGCACGTCACAGTCTCGGGAACTCCTACAAGATAATGACTCAGCCCTACCCCACTTTCCTGAGTAGATATAAATTACCTGCCTACCATTTTTCTTCTCACCTTGACACAGAGAGTACTCCATTTTTCTGTGTTATACCTCTGAGGATGCCAGTCATAGCTGTTGGTGAAACTTCAGGTCCTACAATGCCAAGACCACAGCCATACAGCCCAGAAAATCAACAGCAACCAATGAACTCTGGCTGTGAAAGCCTTCGACAACATATGGAACTCGAAGCTCTCCCATTTTGCTCCGGCTGACTCTCTGAAAACAGATCCAGGTGGGTAGCCGTGTTGATCTGAAACAGTAGAATAAATTCAGAGTCCAGTGGGGCACCTTTACAACCAACAAAGGTTTATTCAAGGTATGAGCTTTCGTGTCCAAGGCACACTTTTTCAAGTACCATGCAAAAGCTCATACCTTGAATAAACCTTTGTTGGTCTTAAAGGTGCCACTGGACTCTGAATTTGTTCTCTGAAAGCAGTGAAAGGACATGCAGAGGTGCCAAGAGTACCTCGATTAGTCAGCGGCACATTTGTAGGAGGAGGCGGCAATGATGGTTGCTACCAGTGCTCCCTCTAAGCTGAGTTAGTGTGCGCCAGCTCACAGTTTTTTAGCCTCTGGCTCACACATTTTTGTCTTAGCTCAAGAAGGATGTGTCCAGAGCAAACTAATTTACACAGCAGCCAAATCGCTCACTCGCAACTTTAATGCCAGTAGCTCACAAAGTAGAAGTTTTGATCACAAGACTCCACAGCTTAGAGAGGGAGCATTGGTTGCTACAGTGGTCTCTTCCTACCGAGGGGGTGGGGGGGATCTCCTGGAGACAGGTTCACAGGGATAGATGGGAGGAAGAAGGAAATGGGGGGATGGCAAGAGGAAACTGCTGCTAGGATTTCACAGTGTTCAAAGAGAGTCGTGAATAGACTCATCCTTTGCTCCTTTGGGATGGCTTTTTAACTGTAATTGATGTCCCCGGCCGGGGGGGGGAGGGCAAATCCTGGCTATAGGGCTGGTTGGACTTCCTTAAAAGGGGGCTTCTAAAAGTACAGCTGCAACCAGCACCAATGCCAAATGGGGTTCTCTCAAGTAAGCAAAGTGGGTGCATTAAAAGCTGAGTGACCTGCTGAAAAACAAAACGGGTGTGTAAAAGAAATGGAAGGACAGGCCCCACCTGGGTCCTCTTGCAGGGGAGCAGCCTGGACTGGTGGAGCACGAAAGCTCAACATTAGCAGAGGACGGATGAAGGCAGAGGGAAGCCCTCATCAGACTGGCAGGTGATCCAAACCCAGGAGGGACGGACAGAAATCAAATTCAAGGTGACTTTGGCAGGTGGAAAAGCTTGGCTGAAACGAACAAAATGAAATGCAACAACGTTCTTTATTTAGAGGAAATGGCTCAGAAGAACATGGGGGACGGATGCCAGGCTTGGCAGTGGCACCTGTGGGAAAGGGTCTCTGGTGTGCAGCCGAGCACAAGCTGGAGGTCACTTGGCCCTCTGATGCAGCTGCGAAGGCAGCTGGTGCCATTTTTGGCTGCATTAAAAGAAGCAGGGTGATGCAGTCACACTGGTGGTGATTGTTTCGTTGCACTTGCACTTGCCCAGTTTCACCTGGTGTCCAG